TTTTTTTACATAAAATTGATTTCCATTTCCCAATAACCAACACTGGACATAAAGGACCTGTATCTGTAAAGATCCAATGGTATACAAGTTTATGGATTTGTATCCAGATCTTCATATCATATAAAAATAAAAATAAAATCTGTCAAAGATCCAGTCTGTAATCTTCTGAATACTGTCCGTATCTTTGACAAACACAAGCGTATCATTTCATTTATTCCAGTGCAAGTAGTTCAAATGTTTGTTAATGCCCTGTTGATTGATTGTGGTATTACACTCTCAACAGATGCATTACTGAGAGAACTCAAGGTAACGTTTGAATCTCTGCTCTCTAACAGGATATGATGGTTCAGAGAATCGTTGAGGCTTGTCCCTGTCTGCTCTACTTGAACCTTTCTTGCACACTCATAACAAACAAAACTCTGAGAGAACTGTCCAGGTAAACCTCCAGTGTGACTAGATCTGTGCTCTAAACTGAGGTCTCACATCTCGAAATTGAACAACCAAAAATCTTGCATGGTGCTGCTTTTAATTTTTAGCCTCCTGCCCCTCAGTTCCCAGAATTATCTCCATTTATCCATTTCTGTTTGTCCAAAGTGCAGCTTGTATTTAATGTCGGGAAGCAGCTCTGTCTGTGCCAACTTAATGATTTAGAGGAACAGATGTGGTGCTCATAACATCTACTTCTAGACTGTATGATTGTTTTTGATAGATTTGTAGGTTCAACAGTTTTCAGTCACTAGCTCTCTCATGGACAGAAGTAATATGCACAATCAGCAGACAATTCTGCTTTTTTTTATGCTATGCTTTCCATGCGTATGTACTCAAATTTACACAAAAAACAACAACAAAATGAGAATCTGAGAATCTGCACCAAGCTAAACTAATCTAACTATTGATTTCAAACAGGAACTGTCTCAACCTTCAATACCTGAGTCTGGCCTACTGCTACAGATTCACAGATAAAGGGTTTATGTACCTGACCACAGGGAAGGGCTGCCACAATCTCATCCACCTCAACCTGTCCGGCTGCACTCAGGTCAGTTGGTATGCTCCTCTCAGTTTGGTGTATAGTCACTCCGCTCAGGCTTCAACTTTAGACAGGCTGCACACAGCTTTTTGCCTTTTTTAAAAGTTCAGTGTTCAGTCCGCCTTTGGATAAATCCAGTCAATCTTCTCTGTTTGCACGTGTCTTCTCTTGTTCCTGGCTGTAAGCTGCTGACTGTTTGCACTCAAAGCGAATGAACGACGATCTGAAGGAGAGTAAAAGGCAGCTGTGACCAAGTGGAGGGTTGGGTTTATACAACCAACTCTGGCCAACCCCCTCACCATGTGCACACTCTTTAACATTATAACACATGTACCGCAACATAAAACGCACCTTCTTCCAGGAATGTGCATTAGTTTGGTTCCATATGTATGGTTTCACTTTATGGGGACTTGTAGATGTGAGGATCAAGGAAAACTGCATCCAGGAGAATGAGTCACATTACACACATATTTTCCTATCTCTCTCTCTCTCTGCCTAGATGACAGTAAACGGGTTCAGATACATTTCTGCCGGATGTCCTTCACTCAGAGAGATTGTGATCGATGACATGCCCACGCTTTCAGATAGCTGTGTTTTGGTAAGTTTCTCCATTTCTAACACACCACAGATGTCATACAGGGTCAATATCCCAGCCCTGGAATTTTCTACAAACTAATTGTAAAAGAATTTACTCTTTCAACACGTGGGTAATTGTTTTGCCCACACACCCTTAACCCCTCATAGCAGAGACGTTTTGAGTCTTAACTCTTCTCTAACAGGCACTAATTGCCAGATGTCGCTGTCTGTCTGCCATTTCTCTCCTGGATGCTCCTCATCTTTCCGACATCACCTTCAAAGCCATCGCTGAAGTAGCCAAACTGAAGACTTTTTGCACAGAGGGTGAAGTCATTTTGCATTCTGCAACATTCATTTCCACATATGCATGAAATTATAGAAGTAATTCTATTCCAGTTATGTGCACTTTAGGGAACAACCAACTAACAGACATAAGCTGGGCGGCCCTGTGCAGCAGCTCACAAGGCCTCTGCAGACTCCACGCCGTAGAATGCACCCGGATGACCGACGCCAGCCTCAAATCCGTGGCCGCCCTCAAGAACCTGCAACATCTGGACATCTCTTGTAACAAGTGTGTGTTTGTTGCTGCAGTAGAAAACATTCAGTGCTTTTTCATGAGACTGCATGACGTAATGGTTTTATTGCTTATATTTTAGCGTGAGTGATATTGGTATCCAGTGCTTGACTGAAGGTTCCTCATCCACCAAACTGAGAGAGCTGAATGTCAGTCAGTGCAGTCACATCACTGACATATCTGTCAAGAGGATTGCACAAAGGTATGTATATAGTGTCACACAAACACACACGTATATCTCACTGTGGTCTGTTAAACTGTGTCACACAGCAGCTTTTTATCTTTATCAGGTTGTGTAAACTGTACCATCTCAACTTGAGTTATTGTGAGAGACTGACCGACATGAGTGTGGAGTGGCTGAGTGGCAGCTCTATCTGCTCTCTTGACATCAGCGGTTGCAACATCAACGATCAGGTATTGTTTGGATTGTTTGTTCTTATCATCAGAAATTATGAAAAAAAAAGATAACTGGCGCTGTTGGTGAATCTGTTTGTATATTTAGGGACTGGCAGCTCTTGAGGGAATTCCCTTGAAGAAGTTAGTCCTTTCCGAGTGTGTCTACGTCACAGACATTGGCATAGAGGTACAAACAACAAATCTAGCTAGAATTTCCACACATGGAAGATGTGGCATTTTTATGGAGCTGTTTATAACATTTAACTGGTCCAAGTTTTTTTCCTTTTCCAGTGATTGCTTATATCAGCAGCTGACAGGAAATGTACCGTTTTCTAGAAAAGCAAGTTGCTGTTGTTTCATTTGCTGTTACTGGCTCCTAACAGATGTGAACAAGGAAGGCATGTTTGTGTCCTCAATCATTTTCTCATCCGTTCACATTTCATTCCCACATCTTTCTCTCGCCTTCTTTGTTGCTCACGAGGGCAGAAGCTGTGCAAGAAAGTGAGGGATCTGGAGCATGTTGATGTGTCTCACTGTGTGGCTCTGTCAGACCCGGCCATCAGAGCCATTTCATTTTACTGTAGAGGTCTAGTCACACTGAGGATGTCAGGTTGTCCCAAGGTACACACACAAACACTCTAAAGCCTTTAAATATCCCCTGGCTAAAGCTGATTGTGTTTCCCCTTGTCATTTAATGACTCATGTTTTCTGTTTCACTCTGCGCGGCCTCAGATGACAGATATGGCCGTGCAGTATCTGACAATTGGATCTCAGTACCTGCGAGAGCTTGATGTGAGTGGCTGCGTTCTTCTCACAGATCGCACTCTCAAACACTTAGAAAGGATCTGTCCTCCACTCTGCGCCCTCACGATGATCTGCTGCAGCAGTATCTCCAAGTAAGACACAAACGTACCAGAACACTGTAAACTTAGAGTCCTGCAAGTTAACTTTTAATGAGCAGAGTGTTTGTTCGCCTAGGGCGGCTGCCTTAAAGCTTCAGCCACGCATGGAGTACTGGAAGCACAGCAATGACGACCCTCCATACTGGTTTGGATACAACACAGGCCAAGTGATGCATCAAATCACAAGACCCGTGAAGACCGACAACACCTGGGAAGTGGTGGAGAAGCACTCGGTGATGACAGGAGCAGCAAGTATAGAGAGGATATAAACACATCTAAATTAATAAGTGCTTTTTTAAAAAACACACAATCACAGAAACCATCATTTTTGGGACATTGTTTCAACACCATTTTGAATGATACACTTGAGATAATCCAAACAAGAATGGAATCATAAATTAAATTAGACGTTTCTGTACTCAGTCTGAATAGAGGCTCAGACATAACATTGTTTTAGGAACCTGAATTATTTACTAATACACATAATATTTCACCAGCTCCTGACAGTGGTATGTCCTGTGCCTTTGACCTTGACCCTGCTAGACTATAGTGGGTTAATAACTCTTTGTTAGACAACCAGTGCATAAACACTACTGAATTTCTTATAGAACGGGTTTTTTTTCTAGGGTGTGTGTGGGTGGGGTTTAAATCCGCGATAATGCAATTGTTTCCTTGCTTTTTTTTTTAGTAAACTACATTTGTACAAAGACAACACAATTGTATGTATTTCTCCAAAAGTCTACAAAAGTCTGCAACTTCTCAATTGTAAGGTTTAAGTTCTGAAACAACTGAATGGATAAAAAAGCTACGTGTCCCAGTTTTGGTCTTGAGATATGATACACATGGTACTCAGAGAAATTGCCTCAGTTTTAAAAACCTTGGAATCTGGATTGTAGATAAATGGCTGTGCTGTTTCCACAATAATAATAATAATAATAATAATAATAATACCACTAATTATTTACCACAGACGACAACACAAACATCATCTTTAGCACTGAGGGCATGACCATCATTCATGTCTAATTATTTAACTAATACTTGTTGTTATAGTAAATGGAAATACCATAAACTAAATTTGAATACTCACAACACATTTCTAGAAAAAATATAAACTCTAAATTAATTTAAAAGTTTATTGTTTTTAAATTAAAATCTACATTTTGTGATTTATATTGGTTTGTAGATGCAGTGTGTGAGTGTGTAGAAAGATTTTTGTTTATTTGTGCTCTTTAAATAAAAAAATCTCTGTATATTTATATTACAATCTTGGTTTATCCTTTGTTTATGTTACACTTTGTATTTACATTCCACTTGGTTTTATTTTTACTGAACTATAATGTGTGGATTTGTTTTAAATTGTTAATACTATAAACATACCAAAGGAGGGACTCGCTCTCTGCTTTATGCTCCACTGAAACTGAAGCTGATTAGTTGAAACAAGTTCAGATCTTGTACAGTTTTGCTGCTCATGTGGAGAAATTATATAAAGCTATATTTGGTGCTTGGATAAAAAAAATATTAGCTTTCATTCATTAGAGTCAGGAGCAGAGGTGAAAATGTTCCACACTTTACAATTAATCTTTACAGTATTTACATACCATACAGAAAACACACAAGAAATATGAGCAAGCAAACTGTCAGTGGTATGTACTAAATTGTTTAACACATACAGAATATTTTTTAAATTACTAGATGATACATTGAAAGTACAGTACATCCTGAGCACAGACTTATGGGTAAACACAACCATAATCTGGTTCTGTCTGCGAGTGTAAAGCCCCAGAGCAGGAATGCAGCATTATGAATCGAACATGTGTCACTCATAACTCAGCTCCCCAGCTTCAGGGACTCAAACCAGCTTTGTGTCTTCAGTCTGACGAAGCCTCTGTCTGCTTGAGCTTTAACCCACTGGTCCACTGGAGCCTCTCCATTTAAATAGCCTGAGAGAAACACATGAGGACGGAAAGGAAATAAACATTCTGTGTTGGTTTACTTGTTGGAGGGTTGAGTTCAACTGTGCTAAATGGCACAATGTGATGTAATGAAACATAATGGCGTACCAGTAATTGTGGTTTGGCCTTCAGTTGTGTTGTTTTCTACTCCATGCAGAACAACCTCTGAGCTGATATCCACCGACGCTCCACGGAGCTCCACCCCGGCTTTCAACGAGGAGGGGACGCGCACACACACCGCTCCTACGTACAGACAGAAGAACGAGGGATAAACAAAGAAAAACACTGTGGTTCGTGAGGTGAATACTCTTCTTATACTGTGTGTTTACCTTCCTGACTGTGGAGTTCAGCACTGCCACCGTCTCCCACATAGACATCAATGCTTCCGCTGTGAGAGGAAATCTTCAGGAAACTATTTGAACCATCTGCAAAAGCAAAGAAAGCCCCAGGTTGCTTCTACCAGCCACTGATAGATACCATACGTGAATCATTGCGTAATCTTTCTTACCAATAACTGTATCTCCGGACACATTCGTCACACTGGCGTTACCTGTTAATCAATGAAAGCACAAGGTCCGTTTGAACTAATCTGACGTCATAAACCTGCCTCACTTGACGTTAACAAGATAATTGATTCCATGTATTTTATGATGAGAGGCTCATCTGTATCAGGAAGAAATTAAAATTCTATGCGGGTGACGTATTTCTTCACATCACATTACAGTACTGTTTGTCTCTGTGCTCTAATGTCTACTTCAAAGAAAGTAGTCTTTTTAGTGCTAACCCTTTTTATAGCTAACCCCGAAAACAAACAACAAGTACAGAGTGTGTGATAAATTGCAAACACATTACAGTGAAATAGACTGTGTTTGGATCAGACCCCGGGATTCCTGGCTGTATCAAACCTTGCTGTATCAGCCAAGTTAACATCATGCAGCTGTTTGCTGCAGTGGCTGATGGGCAGATTTCTTTTTGTTTTAATGAACAGCACAAATTAACAAGTAAGAAAAGACAGCAAATAAACACCTAAACAAAAACCAAAGGTGGCACAATCAAACCTAAACAAGAGCCCACTCATTCCACCTGTATATTAATAAATTAAAACGAGACACATACACACAAATATACATACAAATTCCTCAAAAGTATATTGTCTGGCTTCCATTGTTTTCTCCTTCGATAAAAGATAAAAACTGAGTCCAGACAAGCAAATATAATTGTTTACGGTCATTATTAATTCAAACTAGGCGTTCTCTATCATTAGCTTAACCCACTCTGTTTATTCAGGTCCAACTTGGCTTTTGGATAACCTTAGCAGCTGATATAAAGCCTGTTAGTGCCGGCTTCAAAATCATGGGTAAACACGACCCGCAGAGGCAAAGTTGAACTGATTCATGCACAGGTTTACCTTTCCACTCCTGTATTGTTTTGACTATCTCTAGGCCCACATTGCATTGATAAAGGTGTCTTCATTCCTTTCACATTTCCAGCACAGATTATTAACTAGTAAACCCATTTTATGAAGACAGATAGGTGTAAAATAATGTTGATGAAGTATCTTGTAGTGTATATATTTTTCCAGAGCCAATTTTTACTTAATGTAACTGTAATCTGATTATATATTTT